ACAATTTCTGAGTGTGCGGTCAAACCCAGCGTTACAGACACACCGAATGCCATCCCCATCACTGCCACTCTGTCAGGACGAACTTTGGGGTGTTTTTGTAGAAATGTGAACGCAGTCTGAAAAACAAAAATATATTTGATGTGCTTTAAATACTTTCAAGGTATATATTAGGGTATATACCTTATTTTCCCTCTCCAATGTGAGAATCAAAACGTATGAAATATTGAAAAATACATTTTAAATGAATAAACTAATTCAATTCAAAATGTATTTAATTAATTTCCAATTTAATTAAATATTATAATTTCATTTACATATAACTTAATTATTTTAGAATCACTTCAGCGTTAACAAACATTAAATAATGTCAGATTAGTTAATGCATACACAAATAGGTAGCAGAAATGTCACTTCATTTTAATAAATATATTTCCATATACACTACCGGCCAAAAGTTTAGAATACGATTTTTTAAATGTTTTTTTAAAAAGTCTCTTATGCTTGCCAAGTCTGCATTTATTTGATCAAGAATACAGTAAAACATTAATATTGTAAAATATATTTGCAATTTAGTTTTCTGTGATGATATATTTAAAAAATAGAATTTATTTCTGTGATCAAAGCTGAATTTTCAGCATCATTACTCCAGTCTTCAGTGTCATATGAACCTTCAGAAATCATTCTAATACGCTGATCTGCTGCTCAATTATCAATTATCATTGGTGCTCAATTATTAATAATAATAAACAGCTTTTGCTGCTTAATATTTTTGTGAAACCTGATTTTTTTTTTTTTTGCTTGTTTTTTGATGAATAGGAAAAAAACTTTTGAAAGGTAGTGCATTACAGTTTCCACAAAAATATGAAGCAACACAACTATTGATAATAATAATGTTTCTTGAGCAGCAAATCAGCCTATCGGAATGATTTCTGAAGGATCATGTGACACTGAAGACTAAAGTACTGATGCTGAAAATTCAGCTTTGCATCACATGAATAAATTACATTTTAACATATATTACAACTGAAAACAATTCTTTTAAATTATAATCAAATTTCAATTTTTACTGATTATGCACTATTTTTGATCAAATTAATGCAGTCTTGGTAAGTATAAGAGACTCAAAACAATAAAATATCTAAATTATATATTCACATATAAATATACATGAATTACTTACCTATCCGTTAATCAGAATAATATTTTTAGTTGTTGTGTAGCACACATGTACCTCAAAGTAGGTGTTGTCCACGTGATGGAGTTTTCCTTCAGCAGTCAGCATCCCGATGTACTCCAGAGCCAGCGAGACATAGCCGTGGGACGCCAGGAGCGCTGAGCGATACTCAACACGACCCCCCTGCCCTCCCCAGAGGTCCAGCACAGCAGGAAAGGGGCCAGAACCTGCATTACAAAACCACATGCATATAAACGGAGAGTCCCTCAAGTCTCTGTAGAAGTAGACAGAATGTACAATGATTTACATTCATCTAAATGTACAAGGTCAAATAAACGCTTCTCTTGTGGCACAATAAAAATATATATTTTGTGTTGTTTCTGAATGTTTTCAATTGAATCCTTCCCTTTTGTTCATTTTAATGCATCAGTGCAGAATAAAAGTATTAATTTCTTTAAAAAATGACAGCATAATTTATATTATAATTAAATATATGTTAATTAATACATTTATTAAACTTGCATATAATGTAATTTATTATTATATTTATGTTATTAGATTAAATAGAATTTAAAATTATTGCAAATACTATACTAGTGATACATGGGCAAGGATTGCATCTAATCGCTAATCCATACCTGGAGGAATGAAGAGTGTCCCCTTTATCTCACCCTCTGTCACTTCAACCCTCTGGACTTCAGGGGCCAAATACCAGCGTTCAGCAGTAGCTGATGTGAGGGGTATGTGATACTTAAAGCCCCTAGCAAGGTGTCCTTCATACACAGAAAACGTCACTTTAACGGGTGTCTGGACATTGTTCTTCCGAAATCTGTCAATTCAAATTAGAATTATCTGTCAGTTCAGTGCATGACGGTAAAAGATTTTCCCATGCATTTTTCACTTCAGTTTCAAGTTAGACACAAATTCACCACATTGACATGCTACTTATTAAAAAGATAAAAATACTACTAGACTGTGACTGTGTGCTTAACAGATTTAATTAGGGAAAGAATTACAATTTTATGAAGCATTGTAAAAAAAACAATTCAATTAAAAATGATGGAGAAATCTAAAACTATCAATTTAAAGTTGTTAATTATAGGAACAACATATTTTAAGTTTATTGCCAAATCTGAATATACATACAAATATTTAAGTATTTTTGAGACCGTGGGAAGACTCTATTATGTCATTAGCGGTGCTTCATGGAATAGGCGGACCTCTGTGCTCCTTTGGTGCGATTTACTCATGGTGGCTCTCTGATTGGTAGAATTTTCTTTAAGCATCATGGGTAATGTAGTTTTTCACCAGGGATTACGCTGTTAAACAGGGCTATTTTAAACATAAGTTGAAAAATTGCGAACTGAAATATTGCAAACAACAAAAGCATATTAAAGGGTTGGTTCACCCAAAAATTAAAATTCTATCATTAATTACTCAACCTCAAGTCATTCCAAACCCGTAAGACCTTCGTTCATCTTCGGAACACAAATTAAAATTTTGTTTTTTGATGAAATCTGAGAGCTTTCTGACCCTGTATAGACAGCAAGGGTACTAGCATGATCAAGGCCCAGAAACGTAGCAAGGACATCGTTAAAATGGTCCATGTGACATCAGTGGTTCAACTGTACTTTTATGAAGCTATGAGAATACTTTTTGAGCGCAAAGAAAACTAAAATAACAACTTTATTCAGCAATTCTTCTTCTCCGCATCACTCTTAGGGTGCCATTTAGGAGAGTACCACAATGCATGCGCACGCTCTCCTCTGAATGTAAACAAGGCAGTGCCAGCAGCATCAGGTGCATGCATTGTTTACGTGCAGAAAAAGGACGTGCATGCATCGTGATACTATCCAAAATGGCACCCTAAGGGTGACGCGTCAGAGAGCTCTCGGATTTCATCAAAAATATCTTAATTTGTGTTCGGAGCGTTTGGAATGACATGAGGGTGAGTAATTAATTATATAATTTTCATTTTTGGGTGAACTAACCCTTTGACAATTTCCCTAAGAAGAAAATGAATGGTATTTTACCTCTGGAACCCATCTATTGCACTATATTGACAATGGGCCTTTAATTCCCATGTAATTTTTTTTATTTTTTTTTAATGTTTTATTATTTCGATTTACAACAAAAATAACAGTATACACTTTTGGTATGACGTATAGAGATAGTAAATGAAACCAGTTTAATTTAAGGTGAACTCTCCCTTTAAATTAGAAGTTCATGCACGCAATGCACGGTTGTTCATCGCTCGCTTTATTAATTACTTACCGGCGACCTGGTTTACTTTCAGGAACAGGTCTCATACTCCACAGCAGACCCATCCATGCCTTCAACTCCCTCAAATGTCCCGCCAAGACTTTTATCTCTGGAAACTGTGTATTAATAATCCAGTAAATCCTTTTACAATCAAAACTGACTGTGTGATGGTTTAAGATGTAGTAGTGTACCTTTAACAGTCCCTGAGGAGTCGATCGCGGTAAAGTTGGTTTTATATTGGACATTCGTTAGACATTCGGCTTGGAAAGTTAGGGAGCGTCACTAAAGTGTGAACATAAAAAAAAACAAACACACACACACACACCCACACACACACACAAAGGCGTTTTACCAAGAAAGAACATTATCCGACATAAGTATCACGTCATACCATTATATCTATGCACAGGCGGCCACTTTTAGCGCGTTTATTCACGTAAAGGTAAGGAAAGTCCGAATGTCAAACGAATGTCCAATATAAAACCAACTTTACCGCGATGAGGAGTCGCTGGTGTAGCGGCCGAACGACTCCCAATCGTCTCCATCTTCAGAGCGAATCAGTGCGTGAAGAGTGATCTTATAATCGGCAAGTAAGTGCTTAACTTCTACCTCTGTTTTTTCATCAACCAAGCAGCTTGAAGGATGAACATAAAGTACAGGACCGTGCTCTGCCATGGACACCAGAGTCGCTTGGAAAGTCTGAATGAATCCAAACTGTGGCGAAGGCTTTTATAAGACGTTTAAGCTGGTCATTGTCCTATAGGACGGTGGTTCACGCAGACAGCTCCTTTTTTGGACCTGAAGTTCATAGATAAACAAGCCCATAAAAACGTTACAGGTTATTGAAACTGATGATAAAAGTCTTATGTAGATAGTTTGACCAAAGTGACAGGATTTCCTGCCATAAAATGTCATAAAACTTGACTAATTTTAGAACACTGAAATGTACAAAATAATCAGGTCTGTAGAAAAACTGGGAATGCTGTAGTCTTGTTATGAGGGAATTGTTCTTTGTTTACCTATTCATTATTTACTATCGTTTAAAGCAAACAAATAATGCAATCAAATCTTGATATTAATATCATTATGGTGGTTTTTGTTCTTATAACAGCTGTTCTTTTTGTTATATAGTGATACATATTGTTGCAATTTGTGATAGTTGATTAGAAAAACACATTTTAATAGAAATAACGTATAATCATAAAACTTGGATTGATATTCTGCTCATTTATAAACGTAAATGCAAACTATCACTGCTTATTTCTATATGAATATAGAAAGTATGTAATATATACATTTTAATAAAAAAAGTATTGATATTTATCTTGCTGAGGTTGATTTATGCACTAATTTCCAGTTGAAATGCTGTTGTTTCACTGGAAAATCAAGCTAGAGTATGACATTTTAATAAAAAATTAGGAGGTCGAAAATAAATAAACAACACAATGAAACATTCGTGGATAACAAAATAATTAACATGCATTTAGAAAATCGAGTCAATTTCCATTTCATGCCAAGTTTCATCCTTGCACACAAATACAGAGCACCAAACTTTATGGTATTTATGGAAGATTTTAATTAATAACAAAAAAAACCCATAACAATGATTGTCTGAACATCAAACTTTAGCTTTTAGCTATCAATATTTATGATGCTGAACACATTTTATTAACACAGCAGAAGTGACATATTGTAACGTGTGCCCTAAACTAGGCCTACTCTTCAAACAGCTGATAGCACCGCATTCAATGTACATGTCTAAAAATAAAAGACAAACATAAATTAAAAGTAAACCACACTTTCAACTAGGTAGTTAAAATATTGAATATGTAGTGGTAAATCTGCCTTAGTTGTAACATCATAGCAACGTTTTACTTCAGAAAATGATTCATGGTGCGCCTCTGGCGAATATGAGCTCCAGGGCCGCTTGGATGTCTCCGCCGGTGGCCTGCAGGGCTCTCAGGATGAGCTCCTCATCACGGATGCCCATGTCCCGCAGCTGCTGGAGCTGCGACTGCCACTGATTCTACACATTATCAAACAGAGTCACTCCAGAATCAGTAATGCCACTTTAACAAAGAAAAATAATATTGTGATCAGACTTCACTGCATATAAAAAGGGACAGGATGCATGCAACTCAAGCTGTGCTAACAGTCATAGGAAGAATGCATGCATTTTTCTGCGACATCTCTATTTGAAGGGCTGATGATGGACTCTATAAAGATGAATCTGGTGTAAAATGTCACTGGATGTCCGGTGGTTACTCACATGTAAGCTGGACATGCTGGACACCTGCAGGGCATGCTGCAGTGCCTGGTTAAACAGGTTGTTGGTTATAGGAGTGCCTGCAGGGATTGGGGACACTCCTGAAGAGGGACCCTGTCACAGATGTATTCGGTTTTTTAATTAGTTTATGCAAATCTAAAACATTATAGACACATTGACGGTTACATTCCAGCTGATAACAATTATTATCATTACTGTCTGTTAACTAGTTCTGATATTAAGGGGTCACAACATCGTTTTCAACTAAAAACTGAAAACTCTGTACGCGTTTTGGCCGCTCATTTACAAGAAAACAGAGTTTTGGCGGGCTGAAAATGCAAACTGTGGAAAACGGGTTTCAAAGTGCGAGTTTTTGAAAACGATGTAGTCTCAGTGTAAACTACAAAAACACACATTTGTGAAAACGTTGCGCTTGCGTATTATATGTGTGCATAGATATGTGCGTAGTGTTTCTTTACAAAGTGACATCGCCATCTACTGGCCTGGCATGAATAATACAGCATTTTTTGTCGTTTTCACAGATCCGTGTGAACTGGGATCGTTCTGACGTTTTGTCTGTACACAAAGCTTTTTCAAAAACACAAAGGAAACACATTTCTATTTTTAGTGTATTGTTGTCATGTAAATGAACCCTACATTTTTATACTGCATTAATTAAATTAAAAATAAAACACTAAAAACTAAAACCTATCATTTATAAATTGAAGTGAATTTAGACATTGCAAAATTATAAAATACTGCATGAACAATTAATATTTATTTGTCGTTTTCACAGATCCGTGTGAACTGGGATCGTTCCGACGTTTTGTCTGTACACAAAGCTTTTTCAAAAACACAAAGGAAACACATTTCTGTTTTTAGTGTATTGTTGTCATGTAAATGAACCCTAAATTTTTATACTGCATTAATTAAATTAAAAATAAAACACTAAAAACTAAAACCTATCATTTATAAATTGAAGTGAATTTAGACATTGCAAAATTATAAAATACTGCATGAACAATTAATATTTATTTTGTGATCTGCTAAAGATTACATGTAACAGTGTTATGAAATTATTACGTTATTTCAGCATTGATGATAATAAGAAATTTTTCTTGAGCACCAAATCAGCATATTAGAATGAAGGCTGGAATAATGGCTGCTGAAAATTCAGCTTCACCATCGCAGGAATGAATGATTAAATTGTTAAAATCTTTGTGATCTGCTAAAGATTAGAAATAAGAAATAAGATAAGAAATAAGAAATTTTTCTTGAGCACCAAATCAGCATATTAGAATGAAGGCTGGAATAATGGCTGCTGAAAATTCAGCTTCACCATCGCAGGAATGAATGATTAAATTGTTAAAATTATTAAAAAAAAGAAAACAAATAGAAAAAAGTTCATTTAAATTGTTATAATATTACTAAAATTATAACAGATATAACAAAATTTGATCAAATGCACCCTTGGTGTGCAAAGAGACTTTTTCAAAAACATTAAAAAAAAATCTTACAACACCAAATGTTTGAATGGTTGTATACTTTTTGCCACATCTGCCAATGACTGATAACCAGACATAAATATTTTGTACTGGCCATGAAAAAACAGTCTTTGCATTTTGATAACTGCGTCAAATAATTTTGCATTTTCCTGCACTGTTATAATTAATTTGAAAAAGTTATTGGTCAATTGGTGAACAGTGTTGGGGGTAGTGCATTACAAGTAATGCGAGTTACGTAATCAGATTACTTTTTCAAGTAACTAGTAAAGTAAGGCATTACTTTTAAATATCCAAGAAAATAACTGCGTTACTTATTTGAAAAAGTAACAGTTATTTTCTTGGATATTTAAAAGTTACTTTTTTCTCATTAATTCACTAGCTATGTTTCCATCCAAAGATGCTAATTTAATGCGCAAAACTGGAATATCGCATAAAAAAAATTGCGAATAAATCACTGTTTCCATCCAACGAGTCAAAGAGAACAAAATCGTCACTTCCTGATAAACTGGCACTAAATATCTCTAAGAAAACTAGGAGAAGCCACTGAATATAAAAATTTTCATATATAATTAATTACTTGCGCCTCAGAGCGAGCAGATGTAACACAGTAAATGCAGTCATTGCTTTCAGAGGTGGATGCCTGCTGTTTTGGAATGCAGTCGTGTAAGACAATTATGCAGAAATACTTTGATGACAGACATTCCTCAGGCATTTCAGAACGACCAAAACAACATACAGATGCTGTGAACAAGATCGGTCCGCTGGTTAGTCAAGTTATCCCGTCTCATAGCGCAAGGTCACATGACTTTTCCAATGCGCATGGTGGAATTTATTCGGTAAATGTGTTTCCATCGTAGTTTATGCACATTTTTTCTTATCGGATAAAAAGTTTTTCCTACTCAATTGTGCGCATAAGTTTTTAATGCGCATTTTTAGAATTTATGTGCATCTTGGTGTTTGCATCCAGCATTTTTTTATGTGATATTCCAAAATGCGCATAAAAATAGGTGGATGGAAACATAGTCACCAACACCTCTTCTGTTTGAGAGAAATTGGGGGTGAGGTGCAAAGGCACTTCTATCAGCCTAATTTCTAATTTCTATTTTGATGTGAAAGGGCCTTTGCAGTTGCCAAAAAAAATATAACTTTTGTTTTGTTTTTTGTTATTAAAAATAAATAACCCCAGCCCATTTGACAAAAAATAATGCATTACTTTCCATAAAAAGTAACTAGATAATGCAATTAGTTACTTTTTTTGCAGAAACGCAATATTGTAACGCATTACTATTAAAATACTGTTTTAAATTACCCAATACTGTTGGCAAATAACACTGTTTTATATACTGACCAAAGCTTTATGCGCATTTGGTGCTTGATGAGTTATAATTTTAGGCCTGACTGTTAATGCACTATTCCTAATGAAGAACAGTAAATCATGACAAACCGACTGGAAGTCCTCCTCGTCATCAGACATGCCTTCAAAGAGGAAACCTCCTGTAGATTAAAAAAAGTTTATGCATAAAAACTTCTATGGATCACCAAAATGACCCATCACATTATGTAAATGGTGGTCAATTTTTCACTTAAACTGCGTTTAAATGGACACCCACCTGGCATGTCGCTGTAAGAGCTAGAAGACACGTTTCTGGAGGAGCTGGCACTCTGTTGGGGCGGCACGCTGCCAGCCACCGAGTGCAGCACCAGGATGATGGCATTTACCAGCGCCGGGTGGGATTTGGCCAGTCTGGTGAGACAGTTAAGCTCAGGGTATCGTTTGCTTTAACCCAAAGTGCACCACATGATTCAAATGCCACATTCTGAGGCGGTTAAACCTCGGATTCAACAGGAAGTCAACACAATATGGTGTTCACAACCGTTCTACAATGTGACATCAGCCAAAATGTAAAGTTGTTTTAAAAACTAAATAAATAATTTATTGTTATTAATTATTATAAAATCAGTACCAGACAAACTTGACTGCTTATGCTTTAAATAAGACAAATATAAATTCAATCCAAATACGAATGTATTTTTTTAAAAATTAATTGTATTATTATTATTATTTCAACTGATTAATAATAATAATAATAATTAATATTATTATAACATTACTGATTTAATACTAATATTATTATTATTAATAGTAGCGATATTAATAATTATATTTATTATTATAATACTGATTAATTAATAATAACATTATTGATTTATTTCATATTATATTATTGTTATATTACAATTATTATTATTATTGCATTAGTTAATATATTATTGGGGATAATGTATATTGGGTATAATAACATTATTAATAATGAAACATTATTTCAACATTGATTAATTAATAATAATAGTTTAGTAGTAGTAGTATTCCTAATAGTAATATTAATTATAATTTTATTATAATACTGATTAATTAATAATAACGTTATGTATTTATTATATTATATTATATATTTGATTACAATAATTATTATTAGTGTATTATTATATCAGTTAATAAATTGTTGTTATTGCATTATCAATTCATAACAATATTACTGATTTATTATTATTATTGATGTATTATTATTATTATTTTACATATAACATTGATTTATTGATGATGATGATGATTATTATTATGTTTATTATGAATTGCTTAATATGATTATTGTTGTTTTTCTTAATAGTAATAGTAATAGTAATAATTATTAATATTACTAATAAGAAAACAACAATTATTATTAATATTTATTAGTTTATTAATAATAACAACCAATTTATTTGTTGTTGCTGTTGTTGTATTATTATTTTTTACATAAAACTATTTATTATTGTTGTTGTTGTTTTTCTCATATTAATATTACTAATAAGAAAACATCAACAACAATTATTATTAATATTTATTAGTTTATTAATAATAACAACCAATTTATTTGTTGTTGCTGTTGTTGTATTATTATTTTTTACATAAAACTATTTATTATTGTTGTTGTTGTTTTTCTCATAATTAGTACTACTAATAATCATATTTATTCATTTATTTTGGATCAGTTGTATGTAATGATGCTCACTCACGTGTCAAGCATGTTTGGGTCGGTGAATTGTATGAAGAGGTCTTTGTCTTGAAGAACCCCTAAAAATACAGTCAATAAACATGATTAAGTCTTCAACACGCCTCGCATCACAAATCACCTCTGCCTGCAATCATACAGTACCCAGAGCCACAGGATCGCTGCTCAGCCCAGGTGTTGCCACGATGATCTGCTCGAGGGATTCCTTGTTGTTCAGCATCTTGAACACCTGGAATGAGTGAACAGCTACTCAAACATGTTCCCAAAGATCCAGAACCAGCAGCACGTTCAGACGCTCGTGTTCAGCAGTGAATCTGTATGCTGCTCTAGTCAACCTACCGAGTCTCTGTATGCAGTGCTGGTGTGAAGAGCTGCCTGCAAGACCTGAAACTCCCTCGCAGCTGCAACCTTGTCCACTGGCTCTATAGAGGAACATACAGGAATAAATAATGGACTGCATTTTTGGAGCTTGCCAGTGTCCATCT